AGTTTTATTGGAACACAGCCATGCCCGTTCATTCGCATATTGCCTACAGCGGCTTTCATGCCACAGTGACAGAGAATGTATGGCCCCAAAGCCAAAAATATTTATAATCCAGCCCTTTATATTTATCTATATTATACACATTAATATTGTATATATAATATATAAATATTGTATAATAAGCATACATATTTGTATTATATATAGCATTTATAATATTTTTATTATATATTTATTTGTGTGTGTATATAAAAATTTTTATTTTTTTTAATTTTTATTTTTTTAACATCTTTATTGGAGTATAATTGCTTTACAATGGTATGTTAATTTCTGCTTTATAACACAGTGAATCAGTTATACATATACATATATCCCCATATCTTCTCCCTCTCACATCTCCCTCCCACCCTCCCTATCCCACCCTCCCTATCCCACCCCTCTAGGCGGTCACAAAGCACAGAGCTGATCTCCCTGTGCTATGCGGCTGCTTCCCACTAGCTATCTATTTTACCTTTGGTAGTGTATTATATGTCCACACCACTATCTCATTTCGTCCCAGCTTACCCTTCCCCCTCCCGGTGTCCTCAAGTCCATTCTCTACGTCTGTGTCTTTATTCCTTTATTTCTTTCTTTCTTTAAAATATTTACAATCTGCCAATCCTGGTCTTAAAAAGCTTGATTAGATTTAGGGTAAACATGTTTTTTAAGAGACTATTTTGGGGAGCAGTTTTAGGTTCACAGCAAAATTGAGTAGAAGGTACAGAGATTTCTCATATACCCACTGCCCCTACACATGTGTACTTTCCCCCATTATCAATAGTCCTCACCAGAGCAATACATTTGTTAAACTTGAAGAACATACACTGACACCTCATCATCACAAGGTAAACATTTTTTTTTTTTTTTTTTTTTGTGGTACACGGGCCTCTCACTGTTGTGGCCTCTCCCGTTGCGGAGCACAGGCTCCGGACACGCAGGCTCAGCAGCCATGGCTCACGGGCCCAGCCGCTCAGCAGCATGTGGGATCTTCCCGGACCGGGGCACGAACCCGCGTGCCCTGCATCAGCAGGCGGACTCCCAACCACTGCGCCACCAGGGAAGCCCGGTAAACAGTTTTGACAAGACTACTTCATCGGTTTTGACATGACTACTTCATAGGAGTATTAGTTAGCTACTGCTGCATAACAAATCACCTCAAAGTTAGCAGCTGAAAAGAGCAGCCATTTATTCTCACACTGTCTGTGGATCAGGAGTCTGGGCACAGTGTGGCTGGGCTCTCTGTTCAGGGTTCACAAGGTGTCAGAGAGGCCAGGATCTCACAGTCAGGCTCAGAGCCCTGGTCCATGCTCCTTCATAACTGAGTTCCTTGCAACTGTAGGACTGTGGCTCTCAGCTCCCAGAAGCTGCCTCTTTCCAAAGGCAGATCATGACACGGCTGGTGCCTCCTTCAAGGCCAACAGGATCACACCTCTCTGCTGCTTCAAGGCTCTGACTTCCAGACTCTTTTAAAGGGTGCCCCTGGTTATGTCAGGCCCACCTAGCATAATCTGTCTTCTGATGAATTAAAAATCAACTCATTTGGGACCTTAAATACACCTGCAAATTCCCTTCACCTTTGCCGTGTAGCATAACCTAAATGTAAGCGTGACATCCATTACGTTCCCAGGCCCTCCCACACTCCAGGATGGGAGACGGGGCAGGGCACTCACACCAGGGCATGAGAATCTCCAGCAGCCTTCAAATTCTGCTACAACACGTGATTCTGGACTTGAGAGATTTTGATCCTAATGTTTGTCACCTGGGAAGACTTAGGTTAGTTCAAAATAAGATCTTTTGATCTTCTTAACTTTGCCAAAATACTGTCCAACAAAAGACCCACCTAAGAATCTTACCTTAATGCCATGAAATTAGACAAATGGTAAGGACATTTGTGTTCCAAATTTATCTAAACTCTCTAGCTAAACTGTCAACTCTAAGGTTTTCAATTTTTTTCTAATTTTTATTTAAACTTTTTTTAAATTATTTTTTATTTTTATACAAACCATTTTAACTTTTTAAATTGATGTATAGTTGATTTACAGTGTTGTGTTAGTTTCAGGTGTACATCAAAGTGATTCATATATATATATGTATATATACATATATATATATATATTCTTTTTCAGATTCTTTTCCATTATAGGTTGTTACAAGATATTGACTATAGTTTCCTGTGCTATATACAATAGGTTCTGTTGTTTATCTGTAAGGTTTTCAATTTAATCTGTGTAGATGAGAATAGTAAAGAAAAAAATTAGCTTAGCAACTTTTTATGCTTTATAAAAATGAGAATGAAAAGATGTATGTGTACTATTGCCCACGTGTTGAACACACTCACTCATACACACAAACATGCACGTATTCATGCTTCCTTCAGAACTCACACACACCCAAGGTGGAATTGGCTTGTGGCTGTCCATTCTCCAAATGAGTGAGGGCTTCCTTTGACCCTGTGAGACTTAGTAAAAGAATGGAAAACTCAGTGATCCTCGTGGAAGGGGGGCCTTGTGTGAGGACCCTAGGGCGTATCAGAAGCCAACATGTGTCGTTGATTCTCAGGATAAGGACCGTTGCCAGCGGGGATTGGTGTTGAAAGGGTTGTCCAGACTCTGGTGGCCTCCGAATGCGGTTCAGGCTGCCTTAGCTGCTGTTCAGACAGGAATGTAGTGAAACTGAGCAGAATCCCTTTGTGGGCTGGGAGCTATGAATCCTCAATGCTTCCTTCCCCTCCACCCCCACATCCACCCAGCGACACTTCCTCTCTGCCTCACCTTCTAAATATCCCTCCCTTCCACCCCCTCCTCTCCACTTCCTCTGCTCCCATCCTGGTCTAAACCACCATGATCCTTTGCCTGCCTAAATGATGAAACAGCCTCCCTGCACCCTCCCCGGCTCCCCTCCAATCACTTCCCTGCAGAGTAGTCAAAGTACTTGCTTCCAACTTCAAAGCTGCTCAAACAGTTCCTTGTGCAGAACCCATGCGCAGCTTCTACCAGCACTACATGCCAAGACCAAAAGCCTTACCTCATCTCATAAGAATGAGTAGCCTGCCCCCTCTGTCCTTTCCATTCTTATTCTGCTCTCTCTCTCTCTTTCTCTCCTTCCTCCCATTCATCTGCAGTCCAACAACACTGGTCTTTTTTTTTTTTTTTCCTTTTTTTTTAAGCTCTTCAAATGTGCCACACTCTTCCCCACCACAGGGCCTCTGCACAGCCATTCCCCCTGACTTTCATGGTGAACACCTACATATCCTTCAGAACTCAGCTAGAATGGAAAGCTTCCTCTGGGAAGCTGTTCTCATCCCCTGCTAGTCTGGGTTAAGTCCCTCTGGTGGCAGAAGGTATTTTCCAAAAATGGTCATGGCAATATTTCCTATCCCCCATGCTATTCCAGAGCCTGGTCACTCTCCACGTTCTGGAGTCTGTCGGCCCTTCTCTTGAATTTTTTTTTTTTTTCTTTTTGCGGTACGCGGGCCTCTCACTGTTGTGGCCTCTCCCGTTGTGGAGCACAGGCTCCAGACGCGCAGGCTCAGCGGCCATGGCTCACGGGCCTAGCCGCTCCGCGGCATGTAGGATCTTCCCAGACTGGGGCACGAACCCGTGTCCCCTGCATCGGCAGGCAGACTCTCAACCGCTGCGCCACCAGGGAAGCCCTCCTATCCTTCTTGAAAGACTGATGACCCTGTGATGGTAAAAGCCTTGTCAGTTTTGTTCACCATACTACTCCTGACCCCTGGCAAATGATGCACTCATTGCCAATGGGCAGCCAACTCAGCTTTCCTGCATCTCTTCACATATAAAAGGAGATACCAAATAAAGATGATGTGCAAGAGGCTGTGGATGGCAGAGGAGAGGTCGGGTAGCTTCTTGAAAGAGAGGACATTTGGGTTGTAGTTTGCAGGATGTGTAGGGGGGTGCTTTCTGTGTAATGAAGAGATAGAACGGGGCTTTTGGCAAGGGAAATAATATGTGCTGATGTACGGGACCAGGAAGCAGCCAAGCTAGGCATTGACAGGAGGTTCTGCACAGAGAGAGGGCAGCTTGCTTGGGTGGAAAATTCTGCAGGAACAGGTTCCTAAGGGCCAGGTTTTTATTACCTTCAATGCTGCATGTAGGTGCTTAGATTTCATTCACAAGAAATAGGAAGATCTTGGAGATTTGGAAGCAGCTGTGGAATGATCTCAGTTCTTGATAGCACTGGGACTGGAAAAACTGGTTAAGAGGCTCCCGAACTGGTCCAGTGGGGAAGTGATGGGATCTGGACTAGAGAAGTGAAGATAACAGGATCAGGACTGAGTCAAGAACAATTTAGCAAAAGTTCACCCCAGGGCCCCGTATTTGGGTGCTGTGTGCCCATATCCCGTTGTTACATCAACCCTATAAAGCAGGGGTCCAGAACACTTTTTTAGTAAATATATCAGGCGTGTAGATCTTAGCATCTGTCGCAGCTATTCACCCTGCTGTTGTAGCGCAAAGATAGCCGGAAATGACCGGTAAACGAGTGGGCGTGCCTGTGTTCCAACAAAACTTTATTTTACAGACACCGAAATTTGCATTTCATAGAATTTTCACGTGTCACGGAACAGCCTTCTCCGATTTTTTCCAACTTTTAAAATTGTAAAAACCATTCTGAGCTTGCTTGTGGGGCCGGACAAAAGCAGGTAGCAGGTCTTGGTTTGCCCACACGTGGTACGTAAAGCGTTTTAGTAGCATTTCAGCTTTAAGGGTAAGATCCTACAGGGAACCTTCAAGAAGCCCCGCCTTCCCCTGGCGTCACCAGGCCGCGCCCCTCCCGGGCGGGGCCAGCGCATGCGCGGCCGGGCCTCGGGCGGGGGCGGGGTGGGCCGCGGCTCCGACTCCCAACATGGCGCA